AATGAACCCCCAATCTATTAGTCAATTTTCAACTACACACTTATATTTTATGGGGGTCCTATTACCCCCCTAAACATTTTAAAAGTAGAATATATTACCCCTTAAAAGGTCACACCCAGATTTATGGTAAGCAGTGTGTTGCACGCGTGGTGCCACGTAACATATATGGTACTTTTTTTTATATAAAAATATAATTTAATTCTTTTTACCTTATTCTATTTCCCTTCTATGTTTTTTCTTTTCTTTTTCAGCTGATTTCTTCTTTTCTTTTTTCTTTTTCTATCCTTTTCTTTGACTAAAAATTTTCTACCATTGAAGTGGAAACTCCAAGTTCCATCTGTAACCTCAAAAGATTTAGTTTCTTAATCTAAGTTCCCAATTTTCTTATACAACTATTTCAACATGCAATATTTGGACCTTTTTCAAAATTAATTTGTGGGTCTCATACCATTGGATATTCATCGGCTTCAAAAACTTCAATATCTTGATTTTGGGGAACAATTTTATTAGAGATATCCGTCGCCAACCGAAAATTTGACGGAGCTATAGATCTTATATATGCATATGAACTTTATTTTTTCGGTAAAACACAATAACATAGCCAATCTTGAATATCTAGGTTCGGTATTTAATGGGTTTTCTGACTTTCTCTGATGAGAATATTGTTGGAGTTTGAAAAGATTAAAAAAAAAAGAATGAAATATGAATTTAAATGGTGAAATCCTTAAAAGTTTACCAACTATCGAAGTCTTGAGCATATTGATTTGGCTTACAATAATCTAAAAAGGAGAAATTTTTATTTGGGTTGTTCATGTTAAAGAATTTGATGTTCATATACTTATATAGTAATCAACGCTAGCTATATGCTTAACACATGCAAGTTGAACGTTGTTTTTGGGGAGCTGGGCAGAAGGAAAAGAGGCTCCTAGCTAAAGGTTTACTATTTGATGTTTTCCAAAGTCTCAAATTGGTTCCGGCCTTGTTTCGTAGTGAATTTATAGATTTGAACTTTTGGATCTGATTCGGATCTGGATTTCTTCAATTTTGTGTGTTGTTGTAGTTGAAGTAGTAAAAAATTAATTGTAAAAGATACTAATTTTGACCTTGATGCTTTGTTAGTTTTATTTACTCAACTGAGTTTTCTCTATATTGTTCAATTTCATGTTGTGCTTGAACTTATGAACACTTGGCTATGGGAAAGTGTTTATTTTTAATTTGATCCTGTGTTTTTTTAATTTTTGCTAGTGAAGTCAATTTCTTTTGAGAAAAAGAAGAAGGAGATAGTGTCACTAGTAACAATTATTAATAGTGAGATAATTTCATACTGTTTTTTTCTTCTTCAGGGAACTTAGATCTGGTGGAGTACTGAAGAAATAGAGAAAGAAGAGAGAAAGTAAAATGAAAAAGATAAAGAAAGAAAATGAAAAACATAAATAGAGTAAAAGTAAAGTAAAATGAAAAAGATAAAGAAAGAAAATGAAAAACATAAATAGAGTAAAAGTAAAGTAAAATGAAAAATATAAAAGATTAGAAAATTAATATTAAAAAGAAAAGTAAGAAAGTTTGCCTCTCACTCTCTTTAAGAAGGTGAATTACACTTTCTTTGCCAACTCAGCATTAGAGAGCAAATAATTCTACTATAAAATAGTTCAGGGGGATAATAGGACCCTCCTAAAATATAAGTGTGTAGTTGAGAATCGACTAATAGATTGGGGGGTCATTTGACCATTTTCTCTTAATACTTCCATTAGAACGAATAAATATAAGTGATACAAAATGATAATAATTAATATGTATTAATACATCCATTAGAGCGAATAAATTTAAGCGATACAGAACGGTAACAATTGATATAGTAAAGAGAAAGAATACAAGTGAAATTATGCAAATAAATAAGAAAACGAAATAAATCCACTTCATTTATTACAATCGATTCTATTTATTTCCTTTAGTCAAACAATAAGAGGAAGCGCTTGAGCGAAAGGAGAAGACACAAAAAGAAAAGATGCATCTATCCCTAGAGATGCAAGAGCTTGCCTTAGCACAAACCCTAGAGATGCAGGAGCTTGCCTTAGGACAAAAATTGTTGATATTCAAATGGTGTATGGAGCTGCTTAATTATCCTAAGACTTCAACCCCATCTTACATCAAAGTAAGTTTAGCTGGATCGAGAGAATCTGTGTAGGTATGACCGAAAGAAGGGGAAATTCCATCTCTGTCTCTGTTCGTGTAAAGTCATGGCCTAACCTAATTGGTGAATGAGCCTACAAATGGTAATCGCTTTGTATTTGTCATCTCTTTAAAAAAACTGATAGACTAGAAATAATATTTTTAAATTTCCGTAATTCTCAGTCATCTATCTTCTTTCTTTCGATACACTAATGTCCATATAAATATTGAATATAAGTGATACAAAAATCCTTGTAATTATTTAAACTATAGAGGTAGATATCTAAGCCATAGACCATAGTCAATTATGAGAATTTGTACATAAAATTCGTGTATGATTATAAAAAGGCAAAAGGCATAAATTGCCCCCTAAACTTGTATCCAAAAGTCATTTACACACGTTAACTAATGGGGGGGGGGGACCTATTACACACCTTAAGTACATAAAAGTATATTTATTTTCCCCTTCCGTCACTCAACCCAGGGCGCGTTTCGCTCCACATAGTTGAGCGCGTCAACACGCTAATAAAGTCATTTTTATTTATTTTTTTAATTAAAAAACCCAACCCAACGGTTATATTCCCATTCTCTTCATATAACCTACCCACCCGACCCTAATGAACAAAAACCCTAAATTTTCATCCAAAAATCTGAATCAAGAACCCTAAATTCAAACATAGTTCAAAATTCCTTCTTTTGAATCAAAGGTTACTCTTTTTCATTATTATTCATTCATCTCCTTTTCATTTTGATTCATTTCTCTCTTTTTCATTTTGATTTGTTTCTATCTATTTCGTATTTTGAATTTTTAGTTTGATTCGCGGTAATTCTTATTAAGGTGCTACAACGGCTCGAATAAGCTTGACTCGGCTCTGTTTACAAGAGGAAGATCATGAATTGGAAGAGGTGCGATGCAAACATGGATTTGTTTTGCGTTTGCTGACCTCTTGGACCCCGAGAAATCCTAGTAGAAGATTAGGGTTGTCCTTACTATGGGGTAAGTTAATCTTTTTTAAGAGTTGAGTAATTCGTTTTGTTGTTTCAAGATCCATAGAATGATTCATTTTGTTTTTTAAGAATGCTAGATCATGCTATTTTTGGCTTGGGAAAGATGATTATATTGATCCAAGATCCAAATTTATGATTCCCAAGTTGTTGGGAAGAATTGCGGAGCTTGAACATAGTGTTGAATCTTCTCGAAAAGTTGAAACTTCGGATAAGGAAATCAACAAGCCTACTAAGTCGACCAAATCTATGGAAAGCAAAATAGATATGAAGAAGAAAGAGTAAAAAATGGACAATTTTGATGATGATTTGAAGAAGATGAAAGCAGTTGAAAAGAAATGGAAAAACAAATTGGCCAAGTCCAAGAAAAGGGAGAAACAACTTTGGATTGCTCTGTTGTGTGTTTGTATTTTAGGTGTAAGTTTAGTATTTCAAAGAGTATTGTTTCTGAAAGGAGAAGGACATTCAAGGAAATTGTCATGATCTCTTCTTTGTACCAAAAATTTGCAATATTGTGTTGAACTTGTAATGCTTTTGTGTAATGAAAAGAATTTACAAAGCTCTTATCTTAATTTGTCTCATTTATTGTTGCAAGTATTTGATTTTGTATTTGATCATAAACTATACATTTAGTGTGTACAACTATCTGCTCAACTGTCTAAACTATACGTTTGTGTAGCCACTGCTAAAGTAGTCACTAATTGCCCTCCATAAACACAGAAACCATCAACTAAAAGAGAAGCAATATTGTTACATAAACAGACATTCATAACTGCATAATCATTAATCAAAATAGAAATTAATATCTGTCAAAACAGTTACATAATCAGACACCACAAATCAAAATGCAATCACAACTGCAATTCATTA